TAATAAATAAATAAATACGTATCAGATCACACGTGCTATCACTTACGTTATTGGCTTATAGGACACCTATATCTAGCAATTAGAAGCATGATATTATGATAAAATTAAAATAAATAAAAAATAATAAAATTTTATAATGTTCTTATGCTGAAAAATTGAGAAAAATTTCCTTAAATAGAAAAAAATAAAATATTTTCAAGGTCCAATATAAAGATTTTCTGAAAATCTCATGATTTGACTCAATTATGTTATTGCCAAATTTTTAGAATAGGTTTAATTTTTATATTTTTATTACCAAATTTTTATTCAATGCCTTAATTTTTATTACCAAATTTTTAGAATAGGTTTCCTACCTATTTAGAAGCCTGAATATCAAAAAATATTTTATAGAAACATTATATTTTGACAAAATGAGAAGAAATTAGAAAAAAATGGATAGTGTGGAGAAAATTTCATAGTGTTTAAATGCTAAAAAATTAAAAATAAAATAAAATATGTTCCCTAAAATAGAAAAAAGTTGACTTTTTTGTCCGAGTCCAATGCAAAGGTTTTCTACAAATCTCATGTTGTTTAGTCCAAAAACACCTAAGACCATGACCCACTTATATTAATTTTCGGTGACCCCAAAAACAGTACAACTCAATCAAATGTTGGTCAAATTTTTTTAAAATTTTTAGAAAACTATTGAATTGCACGCAGATAGACATATATGACACTTCTTCTATCTTAAATATTTTTGATATTTTTTAGTATTTTTAATTTTTACCAAAATATGATACATCCATGCAATGTGTTTTAAATTTTGAGATTTCAAATAGGTAGTAAATCTATTTAAAAAATTTCACAAATATAAGCTTTTGCATCACTTATACTATTTTTGGGGTCAACTCAGAAATAGTATAAATGGGACAAATCCTAGTCATAATCTAGTGAAAATTTCAGGATAACATTGAGTGACAACAAATTGGATATATACGAAACCTTTTCTGTTTGAAAAAAAATTATTGATATTTTATGGTATTCCCAACATCTGAACAATTTAAAATTTTTAATTTATTTAATTTTTAATAATATATAATATATTAATATAATATTTTTAACATTTAAGCTTCTAAATATGTGAGAAACCTATAATAAAAATTTTGTTTACAAAATCGAAGTCCTTTGTATCACTTATATTATTTTTGGGTCAATTAAAAAAGTAGTGTAACTAGGTCAAATCTTGATCAAAATTTGGTCAAATTTTTAGAATACCATTAAATTGCAGCTAAATATGCATATATGATAATTTTTTTTCTATATTAGAGTTTTTAAAATATTTTTCTGATATTTTAAGCATATGAATAATTTTTTTTCCTAATTTCTTAAAACATTCTATTTTCATCAAAATATGATGCTTCCATACAATATCTTTTAATATTTGAGCTTCTACATAGGTGTGAAGCCTATAAAAAAAATTTAGTTCACAAAATCAAAACCCTTGTATCACTTACAATACTTTTGGGATTCATTTAAAAGTGATGTAATTGGGTCAAATCCTAGTAAAAATCTAGTGAAATTTTTAGAACATCATTTTAAAGTCACCCAAATGGACACATATAATATTTTTTATATTTTAGAGAATTGTTTGGATATTTTTCTGATGTTTTCAGCATTTGAAAAGATTAAAATTTTTCTAATTATTTATTTTTTAATTTCTACCAAAATATAATATATCCATGTAATATTTTTTAACATTTGATCTTTTAAATACGTGAGAAACCGATCCTAAAAATATAGTTCATAAAATCCAAGCCCTTGTGTCACTTCACTAATTTCGAGGTTTACCTAAAAAATAGTGTAACTGGGTCAAATCCTTATTAAAGTTTGGTGAAATTTTTAGGACACCGTTGAATTATATGATACTTTTTATATTTTATATGATATTTTTTATATTTTAAAGAATTTTTTGATATTTTCAGCATCTGAACAGTTTGAATTTTTCTTAATTTCTTCGAGTCCTTTTAATTTTTATCAAAATATGATGTATTCATGCAATATTTTTTACATTTGACATACTAAATGGGTGAGAAACCAATTATAAAATTTTGATTTATAAAGTCCAAGCCCTTGTATTACTTATACTTTTGGGTCAAATAAAAAGCAATGTAATCGGGTCAAATCTTGATCAAAATTTGGTGAAATTTTTAGGACACTATTGAATTGCACCCAAATGAACATATATGACACTTTTCTATTCTATAGATATTTTGAACTTCTAAATAAGTGGGTCTAAAAAACTAATGCTTTGAATCACTATCATTGTTTAAACTAGAAAATTATGAAAAAAAATAGTATAACTATATCTTAACCTAGTCATAATAAGCCAATACCTTCATGAAGTATTTCAATTGATCCTAGATGGACAAAAATATATCTTTTTTTCTCTTTCAATAAATGTAAATAATATTTTTAAATATTGTCTAGATAAATTTAACTTTTAAGTGTTAAAATTAGTAAAAAATCTTTTAAAAACTAAAAAATAAAAAATAATGGGCATACAAACCTTTCAAATATATTTTTAAGTTTTTATAAATATTTTTTTATTTTACAATATATAAATATAATTATTATATTATTATTTACTTTATAGTTAATAAAACTATTTTAAAATTATAAAATTTATTTTAATATATTTTTAATATTTAATATATTTATTTCTACTTTAAATAATATAAATTGATATGTAATAATAAATTATTTAATATAATTTATTTTAAATCGGTTCAAGTTTTTGATTAGTTGAAACGATTCAGATGGATTCATTAAAAAGGTAGAGAGAGAAGAGACAGTGAACTTTAAAAGAGAAAAAACAAAAAGTTGTCAGAGCTTCTTTTTATCATTGTATCATTATGTAAGGTTGGGAGAGCTATAGAATTTTTAGAAAAAGAAGGGGTGCTTTTTGAACATTTTTAAAGCTATGGGCTTTTCCCAAAATTTACCCAATAAATTATCATACAAACGGCAACAAAATCCTAAAGTTCCAACTCTTAGCAATCAAGGTTTCTATCACTGAGATATGACATAGCATAAGATGCTCTCTATGCTAGTTCTAAGTGACCGAATGCAGTTTTTTTAATGGAAAAAATAACATTTTCTTGGTATTATGTAATACTAAGTCATCACTAAAGACTACAATTACAATGAATTTTAAACATTCAATTTGTATGGTTCGAATTCTACACTCAAAAGTTTTGCAAGTAAAATAATTAATTAAATCAAGTAAAACTTCTGCTCTTCATTTAATCTAATTGATGAGGACTTCATGAGATGAACACACACATATATATATAAAAAAGCTATAAACATAAATCTAATATCTCCTGCCAAGCTTCTAATGTTATTAGTCCATATCATGATTAAGATTTAATAAGGTAACATTAATTAATGCATGCCATAATGACGAGACAAGAAGTGTTACAAATTCCAAAATTTTCTTTCGCGCAACCTTGTTTAAGAGAGCACGTAGCTTTGATACCATTAAACTTGAATATCATGCATTGTAAAATTCAGCAAGCTTTTGGTTGCTTAAATCATAACTTTTCAATCACATGAACCACGTGAAAACAAAAGAACTTGGTTCAGATCTAAATTAGAAAATCTTACTGATCAGTTGAGGAAAATTCTCTCATCTAACATGTATAAATAGATATTATATTCAACTAATTAAAGTGTGCTTTATCATTATATTTCATTTTATCATTTATCTTCAAATCTCAATATGTTTAATCTATCTCCCCATCTCATGGTGTTTAAAACCCAATAACTATTTAGTATATTAATAATCTGAAATGATCTATTATGACAAAACTAAGGTGGCATAACAGAGAATATGTGACTGTAAACCTAGTCTTGAACCAAAAGCTTCAAGGAAAACCTAAGGTTTTCTTTTAAGAAAAAAGAAACTTTATTCAAAATTAGGAAAGCGGAGTGATGAAATAAATGCTACAAGTTTGGCGTGTCGAGGGCCTCAAGCTTGCATACTGACATTCCTCAGGCAACATATATGATACAAATATATTTGGTAGTTTTCAGTGTGATGCATGGAAATACGTTGAAATGAAATCGACTAGTTACAATGATAATCATTTTAAGAGGATCGACCTCCTTAATTATTTCGAAGGGGTCGATCTTATAGGGTTTGTCAAAAGACTAATAATATTTTATTAGTTGTTGAAAAGAAACAGTTACATCTTTATTTATAGAATTTCACTTAAAGTCTATTCGGACTTGGACTCTTAATAGATAAATAAATATCAAATAATCCCGACTCTCATTAAAATTAAACTAGACAAACTCAATAAAACATTATTTAAAGTTTAAAAAATAAAGAGATCATAACAAATATTTTTTTTAATATTCTTTTTATTTTATTTTTTATCAACGCTTGGATCAACTTCAACATCCTCCATGTTCATGCAAGTGGATAAATTTCTCAACTTCTGGGTTTTCTTCTTCAACCTTCTCTTTTTAATTTATGATAATACTTTGTTATTTTTATTCAAGTCTACTATATTGTTCTAACACATATATTGAATTTGGCTCTCAACAAAGTAGTCTAAGCTTATAAATCAAATTGATGTTCGATATGATGTACGCTAATCCTAACTAGATTGACTCAAATGTATTGAGTTTCTAACATGGTATCAGAATCTTGCCAAAAAATCATAGAAAAACAAAAAAAAGAGAGTTGAGCCAAAAAGATTGAAAAAGCTAAATGTTAGTCGCATCCACTTTTAAAAATAAGTCTAAACCATATACATTTACCAATAAATAGGAGATGTTAGATAGGTGAAGATAAAAAAACAAAAAAAGACTATTAACCATAGATTGACCTACAATATGATAATTGGTTGAGTGTTTCTAAAAATAAGTGGCCTGAAATAATTGCACCGGTGTTATCGAGGTCAAATTTTAAGTAGGTAACCTACATGTACATCATCTTAAAGAACCTAGACATGTAGCGAAGGAGTATTAGAACTCACCATCCATACCTCACTTTAATTACAGCAGTCTTATTAGAAATATATATTATGAAGTCAGATTAAGATTGCCAAAACCACAAACACAGCTTGGAACTGCAAGTGAGAACAACACACTACTGCATGCATCAGTTGACTTGCCGGCAGTTCCTCCTGATCTCTCCTTGATTGCCCTCTTTGACATTTAGAGCCCCCATCTTGATCATTGCTTGCTGGAAATCGGAGAAGAAACTGGCTTGGTTCATCGCGTAGCCGTTGACGATGTACTGCGTTTGAGGGTTGGTGTACAGTGTTTGGTCCGAGGTGAGCAGCCCCATCCTGCCTTGCAGTGCGTAGTAGTAGTTGACGTCAAACCTGGTCCTGGTGAAATCGAAGCCCACTTGTGTATCATCTCCTGCGCTGCATGATCTCGACAGCATCCTCGCGTAATTCGAATCCAGCGTTGGATCCACGTCGTTGTTGGGGTCGAAGTTGCTCAGCCGTTTCTTGAACGAGGAGCACCTCGCAGCGCCCAGAGTGTGAGCACCTGCGGAAACAAAGGGCAGCAGCAGCAGCAGGCAAAGGTCACATCATCTCTTCATGCTTCCTCTTGAATCGTAACACTCTCTAATCTAATCACATCTCTCGATGCTTTCCCATAAGAAGATGACATAATACAGTGTTGTGGCAATTCGATTATGATTAGTATTCGAGGACGCTTGCGATACTCTACCAGACAAGACCACCAGTTCCTGAACGGTAAACCCATGCTTAGCAAACATCTCGATGAGGTCTGTGCTATTTAAGGTTGGCGGAGGCAGGTTGATGGTGTCTTCTATTCTGGAACGTCTCCCATCCTTTCTTCCCTTTGCTACGTCGTAGTAGGGACCTCCAGACTGATTAAGAACCAAAAGTAACATTAGTGTAGTGTCAAAAATCAGACAACGATCAGAAAGGAAGTGAAGCATTATCGATCGTACCATAAAAACTGCATCTCTGGCTGCCAGTGCAACGATATCTGCACATGAAACAACTCCGGGGCATTGATTCTCGAGCATTTGCTTGGCCTGATCTATGACCTCGTATCCACGTAGGCTCAGGTTCGCAGGAGAGTCCTTCTCTGCGGTGTTATCCTTGGTAGAATCGATGAGAACCGATCCATCACATCCCTAAATCATTTAAAGTAAATGAGAACACTTGATAGCTACGAGTTATGTTGAATCAAGCATCTCCACAGCTACTCTTGTTATTTCTTCTGTTGCTATGTACCGATAAGAATAACACGAAACGGGCTATATGATGGTTTAACTGACGACGTGCAAAGGGCGTGAGGTTTAGGCAGGGAATTTAATGTAAGGTTACCCTGGTTCGCTGTCGAAGCAAGCTGAGCAAGCACTTATAAATGGCTAACGTGAGAAATAAGACACCAATTAGTTCATACTAAACGAGATCATGAATTCAGGTAAACCTGGACAAAACAATCGTGAAAGTGTAGCCTCAGAAGACCTCCAGCAAGCGTGGCATCACTACGCAACGCCTGGTTCACTGTGTTCCTCACGATGAACTCAGCGAAAGGGCAGATCGCAGCATAATAATTTGAAGTCAAAGATCCCACGCTAAGCTGAACTCCGAAAAGTAGCAGCGCAATCAGCAGCAGCAACTCCATCAGATGAGAAGCAATCATATTCTCTACTTTGGTTGTCGACTACAAAGATCCAAAGGAGTATATATATATATGACAGGCCGTAAAAGCAACGTATTCTATATGGTCGAGATGAGTTTTGGATGAGTACCCAACAGTTGAATGCTCTGTATCTGGCTGAGGCGACCTTGGTGCGTATTTATACATCTGCACTACCATTACATTGAGTTGGAAGATTCTTCAATGGGAACGAGTCATACAACACAACAAGAATGCGTGATTTGAGATAACCTAACACTAGGCAAGCAGAAAAAGGCTCCTAGTAATGCTATATCCTGTCAAGCAACTAAACAAGTGACAGTGGAAGAAACTTACGTGCGCATGGCACACACCATTTACATCTCCACGTGTTTCACAAGAGCGGCAGTATACAAACAAGACAGTGAAAAGACTAAATGAAAGACATGTTCTTAGGGATTGATTTGGTACAGCACAAGTCAACAGAAGTGGGATAAAAGCTGGCTCCAATGTTCAATATGCTATCTGATCTCATTATCGTCATCATCATCACCCTGGAAGTGGGTCATTAATTCTTGTTTCTTTGAGAAGGGATGGATAGATCATCCACCATGAGCTCCACAGTCATTTAGCAGGCAATAACATTCCATTTGGATTTGTAGTGGAGTAGCGGGAAGTCTAAAGTGAGCACTATCGTTCGATAAAATTCTGCTTTTGAACACCACAAAGCAATTTATATGCCTGAGACTGGATGTGGGTTGCACTTTTCTGTTCTAAGATCATCAACCCTGGAAGATATCTTGGAGATTTCAATCTTAAGCAGCCGCCAAAGAATCGTCTTGTCCTCAGCATATGGGTGTTGTCTTGGAGAATTGCAGCATGGTGATGCCACGATTTAGACACTGATGGTTTCTGACTAAGAGATGAGGCAGCGAGGAAGAAGATGAACCACGTCTTCAAACTTTGAGCTACAGTGGGTGCTTTATCGAGTGGTAGTGCTTTGGAGATAGTTAAGCAAATGGATAAAGCTAGCACCAATTTGCTTCCTGTTGAATTGTGCGGTGCAGTGCAGCGTTGTTACCTTCTCGGGTGATGGTGGGGCATTCGAGGCTTGCAATCACACAGATCGGCCAACTTGATGTGAGTAAATAAGAAGATTAGACCATCACTTTCTCTTTCTTGTTTTTGATCCTTGTTTCACCTTTTCTTGGAGCCTATTGTTTGTTCTGGTGTCAGTGGTGCTGCCACTACTCAAGATCAGAGTTTAGGACATAGAGTAGACAACAAAATGATTCAAGTATACAAAAATACTCCTTTCACGAAGGAGAAGATTCATTGGTAAGAACATCCACAATGACTCAAGAGTCAGGTTTCCACAATGATAAATTGGGTGCCCTCCTATTTGCCGCTTCGAGGCTCTCCAAAATCCTTTTACCTTCACAATGTATTATGTTCATATTGCTCAAGTACCTACAACCAACCAAAACACAAAGTACCATCCATCGTTGTAACGATAAAACCTATGTATCCATCCTGTGAATAATTTCATGATCTATCACAATTAAGCTTGTCATCCTGTAGATAACAAAAACACAGGTATTTGGCATATCTGTTGGTGGCCTTAGCATGAGAAGAGGATGAGATTTTACAAGGGCCCATTACTAGACTTATGCAAAAATGGTAAGCAATTTGATTAGCCCTTACAAAGTGCTTTCTTGAATGGTAGTTCATCAAAAGGTAGTTTTATGTTTATGCAAGGCATTGTTAGCAATGTTAGAATTTGTTGGGAAAAAACCTGTTAAAGCGGAATATTCTTTTCCCTCTTTGTGTATCAAAATGGGTTCCTCATCAAAATACCAACTTGATATCCAAATGAAAATATCAACCAGCATAGCATAAACAATAGAGCAAAAATCAACCACACAGTGAGACCAAATCTTTTAACGTGGAAAACCCAATGTGGGAAAAACCACGGGACCGTAGTCCACCTCAAACTTCCACTATCAATAGTAATGATAATAGGTTTACAGTAGGTCTTCTCTAGAATAACTAGAGGATCAGAATAACATCAAGATCATAGATCTTGGCTCAAGAATAGTATATCTTCATCACATAGGATGGATCTCCTCAAAAGAGAATTCTAGGTCTCACAGAGTGGATATCGTAGGAAAGTACCTTAGAGAGGGTAAACTGTAGATCAACACCGTTAGGATTGTAGAGTTTGCTATAAGGATTTTTTATATAAAATTTGGGCCGCAGAAAACTCAGAAACCTAATCTTTCTCTCTCCTCTTTCCTCTGCACGCCGCAAGCTGTACGCTGCAATCTGATCTATTTTCCTCACCTTCTCTCTCTTCTTTTAATTTCTTTCATTTGCTGATTTGGGCTCAATAGGCCCAATTGTCCAAGCCCACATATGGGCTGGACCCAACAATTCTTCCCCTCTAGCTCATATGATGGGCTGTACCAAGCCTGCTCTTCGCCTACATGCTTCAAGCTTCTCCTTAGGCAAAGACTTTGTCAACATATCTGAACTATTCTCATTGGTATGCACTTTTTCCAACTGTAATTCTTTCATCTTAAGCACATCACGAATCCAGTGATATCTCACATCAATATGCTTGGATCTAGAATGGTATGTTGAATTCTTGGAGAGGTGAATGGCGCTCTGACTGTCACAGTAAACAATATATACTTCCTGTTTCAAGCCCAATTCCTGTAGAAACTTTTTCATCCATAAAGTTTCTTTACAGGCTTCAGTAACTGCTATGTATTCTGCTTCTGTGGTTGATAGAGCAACACACTTCTGTAACTTAGACTGCCAAGAGACTGCTCCTCCTACAAATGTCATCAAGAATCCCGAAGTGGACTTCCTGGAATTAGTATCACCTGCCATGTCTGCATCTGTGTAACCTTCTAACATAGGTTCATCACTACCAAAACATAAACACAACCTGGAAGTACCTCTTAGATATCTTAATATCCATTTCACTGCTGCCCAATGTTCCTTTCCAGGATTAGAGAGAAATCGGCTGACAACTCCAAAGCTATATCTGGCCTAGTACAAACCATAGCATACATCAAACTGCCTACTGCAGATGAGTAAGGCACTCTGGATATTTCTTCTTTTTCTTTCTCACTTGTAGGACATTGTTTCGAACTAAGCTTGAAATGACCTGCAAGTGGGGAACAAACTGCTTTGGCTTTACTCATGTTGAATCTTTCAAGAATCTTTTCAATGTAAGTCTCCTGAGATAGCCAAATCTTCCTTTTCTTTCTATCACGAAGAATCTTCATGCCAAGTATTTGTTTCACCGATCCCAAGTATTTCATGGCAAAAGACTTACTTAGCTCTCTTTTAAGCTTTTCAATTTTTCCAACATCATGGCCAACAATCAACATATCATCAACATATAGCAGTAAAATAATAAAATCATCATCTGAAAATTTTTTCATAAACACACAGTGATCAGATGTGGTTCTATCATACCCTTGGCTCATCATAAAGGAATCAAACTTCTTGTACCATTGTCTAGGTGCCTGTTTGAGTCCATATAAGCTTTTCTTAAGCTTACACACCATATTTTCTTTTCCCTTGACTTTGAAACCTTCTGGTTGCTCCATGTAAATTTCTTCTTCTAAATCACCATGAAGAAATGCTGTTTTCACATCAAGTTGTTCAACTTCTAAATTCAAGCGGGCAACCAAACCAAGAACAACTCGGATAGAGGACATTTTTACAACCGGAGAAAATATTTCTTCAAAGTCAATATCTTTCTTCTGACTGAATCCTTTCACAACTAGTTGTGCCTTGTATATCTGTTGTGAGCTATTGTTTTCAGTCTTCAATTTATAAACCCACTTATTCTTGAGAGCTTTCTTCTCTTTAGGCAATCTTACCAAGTCATAAGTGTGGTTCTCAAGCAAGGATCTCATCTCTTCTTGCATGGCTTTAACCCACTCATTCTTATTCTCATGTAGAATAGCTTCTTGATAAGTTTCTGGCTCTCCCCCGTCAGTAAGCATAACATACTCATATGGAGAATATCTGGTAGAGGGTTGTCGCTCTCTAGTGGATCTTCTCAATGGAATCTCAACTGGTGGTGGAGGTGCTTGTTCAGTTGATTCAGCATCATCAACTGTAGGAGTATCATCACTTACATTCTCACTATGATCTTCTTCTTCATCTCCCCCATGATCATCATGAACTATAGGTGAAGGAACTGGACACAAACTCCAAGGAATATAAACAGAGGTTTTTGGCTTCTC